TTTCCATAGTTTCAAATTAGTCTCAAGTCAGTTTCAAACTAGTTTCAAAATCCAGTTGAAATATCGCTGTTAAGGAGGAGCTGCAATTTCTGTCCGCGCTTGTTGAAAACCAGAACTTCTGCATGTTTTGCAATTTCGCGTAGAAAAACGCAGTTTCCCCTTAACAACGATTTTGCAACTGGATTTTGAAACTATTTTGCAACTAGTCTGAAACTACAGAAACGAATTTGAAACTTGAAAAACGCAGCATTTCTGCTCCCTGGCGCTTGGCCACGCCCAAGCAAGAGGAGGCCAGAAGCTGCGGCTCGCGAAACACGCCTGGATCGAAAAGTGCACCTCCGACTTTCTTCCCAAAAGCCATTCCAGCAACAACTCTTGCCAAGGCAGCCACGCAATCACAAGTCAGCAAATTATCTTGTCTGAGACTGTGTCTCTTCTGAGTTTTTCTATTCCTATCTCTGCGTCCTTTCTCCTTCTCACTTGTCCTTTCACTTTTCTTTTGTCTCTTCTCACTCCAACCAAAAGGGAAATCGCAAGGGAGTCATATAGGGAAAGGCGACAACGTGAAGAAATAAGAAAGAATCATTTCCATATTGTCCCCTATTCCTGTCTCTAAATCTGCAGATTTTTCAGAATGGAAGGAGGGCTTCTTTCTCCCTCTCACTTTTCCTTTAAACATAGAGAGGTGACGAAAATCAATCACGGAAACCTATCCTGCCTTCCTTCCTCTTTGTCTTTGGTTCGGAAAAGAAAGGAACGGCTACCAGCCTCCCTCCCGACTTACATCTTACATTCTCTTGTTTCGTCCTGCTCAACCGGAAAGAAGGTCTGCCTCCAGTCTTTCCTCGCCTCCCTGCTCACTATTATGAGTTCCTTTCACTTCTCTTCTGTTGCTTACATTCTTCTCAAAAGTGTGAAAGGTGCGGGGGACATCCCTTTCACTTTGTCTCTTCTGGGGAAATTCCCAATTGCAGGAGGCTCTCTCTCCTTGTCTTTGTTCTGTGTTCATATAGGGAAAGAAGAAAGAAGATGAATGAATAAGAAAGAATCATGTCTATAATGTCCTCTATCCGTGTCTCTTGTGATTTCTTCAATTCCTATCTCTGCAGATTCTTCAAAATGGAAGGCGGACTTCTTCCTCCAACCAAAAGCGACCTTCTCAAAAAGAAGACAAGAGACGAACATCAATCACCGGAACCTGACTCCTAATCTCATGTGTTTCCTTGCCTCTTTCCTCGCTATTCTCTCTTCCTTTCTTCACTCCTGGTGCTTACATTCTTATCAACATGAAAATTGAGGGGGCAGTGCATCCCTTTCCTTTTCCCCATCAAAGAAAGGCTGCCTTCCTATCCGCGTATGTTCTTCCCTCTTGCTTCCCAAAAAGACTATAAGAGGTAGGGATAAACAGAATGAAAGAGGAGTCTCCTGTTGCTTTCCGACTACCTTCTCACCACAAAAAGGAACCTTCCAACTCTTCCCTACTTTCTTTCTTTTATCTTTTTGCACTTTACGTTTCCCGCTGAGAAAATGAGACGTTTCCCACTGAGAAAAAGAGACAATGATGACAATAAGGAAAAAAGATCACCTGCCTGTATTTTCAGACCTGTCCGCTGCATCTTTCCCTTTACATCGCAGATTGAAGGAAAGCAAAAAAGTCAGAGGGAAGAATCCCTTTCCCTACCTTTCCCAGTACATTCCTTGTGCTTTCCATGTTCTTTGGAATTGCTTTGTTCTTCAGCAAGGAAAAGCGCAACTTCCCTCTCAATTTCATGTTTCCATTTCTCCGATGTCTTTTTCATTCAAGAAGCAAGCGGAGGGGCTGCCTCCTGTGTTTCCTTGCCTCTTTCCTCGCTATTCTCTTTTCCTTTCTCTTCTCTTTTGGTGCTTACATTCTTCTCAAAAACGTGAAAGTTGCGGGGGCATCCCTTTCGCTTTCTCTTCTGGGGAAATTCCTAATTGCAGGGGGCTCTCTCCTTGTCTGTCTTCTTTTCTCATACATAGGGAAAGGAGAAAGAAGATGAAGAACTAGGAAAGAATCATTTCCACACATTCCTCTATTCCTACTGTCCGGAGATTGGCAAGCTTTCGGAAGCTCTGGTCTCTAGTCACGCCTGACCAAAGTCAACTTCCCGTGCGTGAGGGCCATATGTGAGGGGCCAGGAGGGGGGCAGAAAGTCCGGAATATGGTAGTGTTTCGAGTTTCAAATTCGTTTCCATAGTTTCAAATTAGTCTCAAGTCAGTTTCAAACTAGTTTCAAAATCCAGTTGAAATATCGCTGTTAAGGAGGAGCTGCAATTTCTGTCCGCGCTTGTTGAAAACCAGAACTTCTGCATGTTTTGCAATTGCGCGTAGAAAAACGCAGTTTCCCCTTAACAACGATTTTGCAACTGGATTTTGAAACTATTTTGCAACTAGTCTGAAACTACAGAAACGAATTTGAAACTTGAAAAACGCAGCATTTCTGCTCCCTGGCGCTTGGCCACGCCCAAGCAAGAGGAGGCCAGAAGCTGCGGCTCGCGAAACACGCCTGGATCGAAAAGTGCACCTCCGACTTTCTTCCCAAAAGCCATTCCAGCAACAACTCTTGCCAAGGCAGCCACGCAATCACAAGTCAGCAAATTATCTTGTCTGAGACTGTGTCTCTTCTGAGTTTTCTATTCCTATCTCTGCGTCCTTTCTCCTTCTCACTTTTCCTTTCACTTTTCTTTTGTCTCTTCTCACTCCAACCAAAAGGGAAATCGCAAGGGAGTCATATAGGGAAAGAAGACAACGTGAAGAAATAAGAAAGAATCATTTCCATATTGTCCCCTATTCCTGTCTCTAAATCTGTAGATTTTTCAGAATGGAAGGAGGGCTTCTTTCTCCCTCTCACTTTTCCTTTCGCTTTTCTTTATATTTTCTCACTCCAACCAAAAAGACAAGGGAGAGAGGTGGGAGATATAAAGCCCTTTACCTTCCCAAAACAGAGAAAAGTGACGAGAATCAATCAGGGAAACCTGGCTCCTAATCTCCTCGGTTTCCGCTCTTTCCTCGTTATTCTCTCTTCCTTTCTTCTCTGCTGGCGCTTGCATTCTTATCAAAATATGAAAGTTGCGGGGGCATCCCTTTCACTTTCTCCCTTCTACGGGCACTTCACTCCTTTTTTTCCCACTATCTTCTTCGATCTTCCTTCCGAAAAAATTCGAAAAGGAAGCGATAGACCAGGGTGAAGGAGTCTTCGTTCCCGGCACCTTCTTATTCGTTCTTCTCTCTTATTATCTCTTTGTTTCTTTTCTTCCGCCCAAAACAGGAATTGCCGCAGGGCTCTCTCTCCTAATCTTTCTTCTTTACTCATATGGGAATGATAAAGAAGAAGAAATGAGAAAGAATCATGAGCTCTTCTTTTCGTATCTCTTCAGCATTTTCAGCATGGAAGGCGGGCCAGAGGCGAGAGAGTGCAAAGGGAAGAGACGCGAGAGATCAATGGGGACAAGCGAAGGGACGTGCGGGGAAAGGAGGGACAGCCCGGTCGAGACAAGCTCCCGAGAACCTGCGTGCAGGCAGGTGATCTTTCTTCACTTATCTTCATCATTGTCTCATTTTCTTAGTGGGAAACGTAGAATGCAAACAAGATAAAAGAAAGTCAAGGGAAGAAAGAGAAGGGTTCCTTTTTGTGGTGAGAAGGTAGTCGGAAAGCAAAAGGAGACTCCTCTTTCATTCTGTTTATCCCTGCCTCTTATAGTCTTTTTCGGAAGGAAGAGAAAAGAAAATATGCGGATAGGAAGGGAGCCTTTCTTCGATGGGAAAAGTGAAAGAAATGCCCCCGCACCTGTCACACAAAGCAACAGAAGAGAAAAGAAAGGAAGTTATAACAGTGCAGAAGGAGGCGAGGAAACACTAGAGGCCGCCCTTCTTCTGTCCGTTTGAGCGTGACGAAACAAAAGAAATGGAAAGATGAAAGTCGGGAGGGGGGCTGGTAGCTGTTCCTTTCTTTTCCGAACCAGGATTCCAGGATAGCGAAGGAAATAGTAGGGAAAGGCCCTCTTTCTTCTTTCGTGTTTATTTATGTCTGCACTGTGCAAAGAAAAGAAGGCGGGGACAGGCCGTTTAGAAATGAAAGCAGGCGATCTTTTCATCCATTTTGGTCACCTTTCTATTTATTGAGCTGTAAGGGGCTCTCTATCTCTCACCTCTCTCCCTTGTCTTCTCCCTTCTGCTTGGAGTGAGAAAAGAAAAGTGAAAGGAAAAGTGAGAGGGAAAATGAAGCCCTCCTTCCATTCTGAAAAATCAGCAGAGATAGGAATAGAAGAACTCCGAAGATAGGAACACAGGAACGTCTGCACATGATTCTTTCTTTTTCCTCCTTTTCTTTCTAGATTCTGGGTTTAGGAGTTAGAGTTTAGGAAATACGGTATAGAGTTTCTTGTGTAGGGTTTTAGAGTGTACGAATTTGTGGTCAGGGTTCCGGGCTTAGGGTCTGAGATTGCAAGAGCCAAAACATTTATCAGTCCGAAATGAGTTGTCTAAGTGCGCATATGCGTGAGACGTTGTTGGAGAAGTAGCTGGGTTGTCTTGGATATGCTAAAATTGATTAATAATCCCAGGCGGTAGCTTCTAAATAGACCCTATTTTGCTCAGCCACCCCCCCCCCCCCCCCCCAGAAGCGGGGTTATCAGCACAGTAACTATTTTCATAAATGGTTGTAACCTTATTGAGTTTTAGATTCGATTGGGTACTTATAGCCCCACTGTTCACTGCCCATGAACCTTCAAGAAGGTGGGTTGCAGGGTCCTCGACTATATGGGATCATTGTCACTCTACATCGCTATGCAGATCAGTGGAGCCAGCAATAGCCATTAGCGCTTCCTGGATCACTATAAGGAAATACAGTACTTTAAGGATGATTGGAGCTGGGATTCCCTTTGGTATACCTTTTGGGGCAAGATAGTTATGTTCCAGCTTTACTGTAAGCCTGCAGAGTCTGAAGCCCTGCGACACTCTCCCCACCCGCCCGCCATCGTTACATAGATGCCGGCGACGGGGACGCGAAGCCCGCACCTAGAAGACACAGCAGTTTGGGGGCGGTTGCGGCGTGTTCGCTGTAACATGATTTGGGGAAAGATGGGATGGTGACCCTTGCGAGGATCTGTGGAGCTAGTCCTGCTCTTTAGGATGCTGCAGGCACTGCATGTTGTGCTTGCATGGACACTGCAGACAGCTATGGCACTCGCCTTCGAGCAGTGGGTTCAGGCAAGCCATGAGAAGTCCCCCCAGCCCCCCCCCCCCCCCCCCCCCCCCCCCCCCCCCCCCCCCCCCCCCCCCCGCCCCCCAAAAACCAGAACACCTCTCCAATCAGGACTAGGACTGAAATGGGCCAGTCCCAAAACCGATGCGCGATCCGGATTCTTGCCCAGCTGCGGCAGCGGAGATGCGCTCTGGAATGAGAAGTGCGTCCTGCCGACACCACACGCCACTAAGTTCCGAGGGCCATGCCCCAGCCATCACTCTTACAGGTCCCGCAGGCTTGCATAGAAACGCCCTTCATTTTCTATTAAATTCTAGACCCAGGAGTAACCTAGGAACGAAAAGCTGCTTGGTTTTAAAGGGGCTTAACCCTAAACCCTAAACCCTAAACCCTAAACCCTAAACCCTAAACCCTAAACCCTAAACCCTAAACCCTAAACCCTAAACCCTAAACCCTAAACCCTAAACCCTAAAGAAAGAAATAAGGGCCTCCTCTGGGTCCTAGAATTACAAGGCACATCCAGGAACCTTCCAAACCCGGCTACTGCTTAAACGAGGCAGCCACGAAAGAACTGCCCGGTTTAGGGTTTAGGGTTTAAAGGGTTTAAAGGGCTTAAAGGGTTTAAAGGGTTTAAAGGGTTTAAAGGGTTTAAAGGGTTTATAGGGTTTAGGGTTTAGGGTTTAGGGTGCCTGCTCTGATCTTGTGCCTCGCGGTTCTCGGAGTTGAGATGTCCCTCAGACTGAAGCCACGTTCGCACAGCGCTGTGCCAGGAGAAGAACTTTCGGTGTCCTGTAATCCGCAGACCAGGAGGGGCTTATTGTATCCTATAACCCCTTATAGGGATTATAGGGCCTGATAGCCCATCCTGGGATGCTGTGTTGTAGCGATTCCTCTTGACGCCGTTCGCTCCTAACAATCGAACCCCAAACCCTTTTTCGAGAACTGTGAACTGCGTGCGCGCGCGAGGCAAGGCAGGCAGGTGTTCGGGTGGGTTGAAGCGAGTGTGCACGCGTCCGTGCCGCCAGCTTGGTTCCAAACCAAGCCGGCAAATCCTATAATATGTAACCCGTAAACCCTAAACCCTAAACCAAGAAACCCTAAACCTTAAACCCTAAACCCTTAACCCTAGACCCTAGACCCTAGACCCTAAACCCAAACCATCCTGATGCTGGAGACCCCACCTCAGACCCACGCACTCCTCTAACCCTAAAGATGCCATTGTCGGCAAGCAGCGGCTTGCATCCAGGATGGGTGCTGAGGCCATCTCCCGCAAAGCCACGGGATCTTTCGCAACTTCCATCACCTGGGCAATGCAACAAGGCAGTGTGGCTTACGATTGTGTAGGGTACAGGGCTATCGCAACCGAGACCCAGCTAACGTCCCTAAACCCTAAACCCTAAACCCTAAACCAGTGCTGCCTGAGGCTTCGACCCTCCCTGCGACGGCTTCTGCAAGCTAATCACTGCAAAGTCTCTAGTACTTTCCTGTTACAACCACAAAGGGTCCGGCGCGATCCACCACTCGCTCAAGTCCTGCAAGCTCAGCTGAAGCTGAGAGTTGCGAGCCAGCACAGGGGGAGCTTTTGCTCATAGAAACATTTTTCTTTTTCGTATATTGCAATTAGCAGTGAATTATTGTAGGGTTTGAAGGGGGACTGTTGAACGGATGCTCAAGGACTCAGTGAAGGAAGAACAGGCCCCTGATCCGAGTAGGTTTCCCAGCATGCTGGGAACGAAATGATACTGACAGTGGGAGCATAGTACTCCCTATTATAATCCCAATTTTGGACTGTTAGAATAAAGGGGAACATCCAAAGTTTAGGGTTTAGAGTTTCTGGTGTAGGCAGCTTTGTCCAAAGAGGATAAGAGAACCTTTTCCAGACTTCCAGCCTGCAAATCGATTCCCAAACGCTCAACCCGCCCTAAACCCTAAACCCTGGCGTTCTAAACCCTCTCCTTGTAGGGGATCATTTGGAGAGTAGTCGTCTGCGGCACCCTCTGCCTTGCTGCTGCCGCATGTCAGGACCACCGAAATCCCGTCCCCCCTGAGGCCAAGCCCCCTTTTTTTACATTCATTTGCCCATCAAGTGGATAAAACTCGTACCCCTATGGTTGTACCCCTAAGCATGTCACTTAACATCTTCCTAGTATGGCAATTTTTATTTCCTTCGGAATCTTTTAACAGGGTCCCTAAACCCAAGGGTACCACCTTAGGGATCCCAGATACCGTGACAGTTCGGCTGGAGGGGGGGGGGGGGGGGGGCGGGGGGAGGTTGGGGGCAAGCCAGGTGGGGAGTTCCAGGAGCAAATTGTGACATACAAGACACCCCTCCAATACCCTAAACCCTAAACCAGGGAAAGCCCTTGCTCCCCCAAGAACGAGGCTTTAGGGCAATGTCTACATCCTCAAACCTCAACGCCTGCAGGTCGTTCGCGTAGATGAAGGAGCTGGGGTTGAAGACATCCAAAACTGCCCTGGCCCAGAGAAGAAAATCGGAGAAGTGCATTTTCTTTGTGATTGATGTGCTGTATACAGTTTTTGTTAGGGCATTGGGGGATACTGGCTATTTACAAAAAGCGGTATCGAAGTTCAAGCTGCGCGGCAGCTGCCTCTAAATGGCATTGTTTGGGCAAACAAACTTACCATAGCCCCTGTCATTCTGCAAAGATTCACCTTGCTTGATCAACGTATACCATGACTGCACAGGATACCGGGGCACATAGTTCAGCATGCTCAATAGGCTCATTGCTTGGTAGGAGTGCTGCGTATCCGAACCGTCGGCCACACTACAAATCCTATAAACATCCATAAACCCTATAAACGCTATAAACCCTACAGCTATAAACCCTTATCAACCCTATAAACGCTATATATAAACCTGTAAACCCTCCTGCCTCGATCCCCAATAGATGGGAATGCAGCCCGCCAGGAAAGCATTCACGATCTTCTCAGTCACGTATCCTGGTTTAGGGTTTAAGGGTTCAGGGGTTAGGGCCTAGGGCCTAGGGCTGCCGAGCGAGCACTCTTCTGCATCTAAGCGCATAACTCACTACCAAGGCAGTCTTCGAAACTCGCCGGTGCACAAAAAACAAGCCGCGACTTTTCCCTCGGCACGTAGAGGCCCTATAAGCCCTCAGCCCCCCCCCCCCCCCCCCCCTCCAAATCATCCCTCTTGGAACCCTAAACCCTAAACCCTAAACCCTAAACCCTAAACCCTAAACCCTAAACCCTAAACCCTAAACCCTAAACCCTAAACCCTAAACCCACCTGGAACCAGCTTGTTTTCAAAGACCAGCGCAAAGGTGTAGGGCCGCAGCAGCTCCACGGCCTCATCGAGAAAGGAGGCCGCCAGGTCCCTGGAGTCGTTTCTCGCCCTGCAGCGGGTAACCCTAAACCCTAAACCCTATACGTAAACCCTAAACCCTAAACCCGAAACCCTGAACCCTAAACCCTAAACCCTAAACTCAGGGCCTAGGCCGCCCCCCTACGTTGGGGGGCGGCGCTTAAGCCCTTTGACCTCGATGGCAGGTCGCTCGCCTTCGGAAGGCATGTGGGGCCTGGCCCGACCCCGCCCTTCGAGACCTTGCTGCAAGCCTCCCTGAAACTGCCTCCCGACCACAATTCCTTTGACTCTCGGACCAAGCGAACGTCATGAAACTGAATAAGTTTTTAGAAGTGGGCTGTTGTCTGAGTTTAGGCCTAAACCCTAAAAGGAATAGGTTGGGTGGCTTTGCCGCCTTGGACGGCGTGGGGAGGGAGAAAAGTGTTGGATGGCCCTCCACAATCGGACCAAAGCTGCTCTTCGCACCTCACGAAACTTTCGAGCTTGTTCCGAAACCTAACCTTCACAGCATCTACGCCCTATCACAGCAGACCCTAGCCCCTAGACCCTAAACCCTAAACCCCAAACCCTGAACCCTACAGCCTAAAATAGGGGAGGGCTTTTTGTCCTCGGTGAGCTCGATTGTTTTTTGGGCCGTAAACTTCAGGTCCGGACCTGAGTTCGACCTTGCTTTGCCTTACTCCATCTTGCAGATATCATGCGAAAGAACCCTGTAACTGATCGCAAACTACCCCGTAAACCCTAAACCCTAAACCCTAAACCCTAAGCCCTAAGCCCTAAGCCCTAAGCCCTAAGCCCTAAGCCCTAAGCCCTAAGCCCTAACCCTAAACTCTAAACCCCAAGAAGCCTCCGATGTGCCGAGGTGTACCCGGTGCATCGGGAGAGGGCGGCTGGCGCTGGCAGGCCGCGGCGCGCTGCGGCTTGGACCAGGAGGTCAAACATCCTCTCGCGATGATCCACGCAGGCCTTAAGGTGGCTGGTTTAGGGAATAGGGTTTAGGGGTTTAGGGTTTAGGGTTTAGGGTTTAGGGTTTAGGGTTTAGGGTTTAGGGTTTAGGGTTGGGGTTTAGGGTTCAGGGTTCAGAGTTTAGGGTCTAGGGTTTAGGGTTTCGGGCTTAGGGTTTAGGGAAGCCCCGACCCGACCCGAAACCTGTGTCTGAGCCCTTGTCGACATGAAACCCCCTGTCGGAACTTGAGGGTTTTTTCGGTGCCAATGTGGCCGGGAGCAGGGACTGGTTTTTCTTTGAACCATTCAACTGTCATCCTAGTTTGCAGCATGTAGGGTTTCGGGTTTAAGGCAAGTTTAAGGTTTAGGGGCAAATCACACTTTCTTCGGGGCCTGTCTAGGGCAGCCGCGAGGCGTAAGCCATGTATGCCAGGAAGAAAGGCTTTTGCTCCACCGGGCGCTGCTGCGTCGACAAGTCCAGGGGCGTGTGCTTCCTTCGGCCCGCAAAGGAGGTCGAAGCGAAGGGGACATACCTGGAGAGTGACAGCTGCAATCAAGTCCTTGAAGCTCCCTAGAAGGTGAAGTGAAGTGATCAGCTAAACAATTCCCTCGCAGACGAGAACAACTGCTCTGTGGTCTGTGGTCTGTGGTCTGTGGTCTGTGGTGTGTGGTTTCTGGTGCGTGGTGTGTGGGCGTGTGTGGGCGTGTGGGGCGTGTGGGGGCGTGCGGACCGTGCGGGTGTGTGGGTGCATGCCTGTGTGGGTGTGTAGGTGTGGGCTTGTTTGCTTTGTTTTATGCCGAGCTGCAAGACTTTGAGAGCGCCGCTCCGTTCAGAGACTTCACGATCGAAGACCTCAGGAGCATGTTGGGGGTGTGCAAAAGCGGGCGGGGTGTATGTATGCATATACTTTTATTTCTACTCATTTATGTGTATCATCTATCCCTTTGTAGCTTCACAACAAGTATGAGAATACTTCGTATTGGTAATTTGTGTTCGTACCCATGTCAATCGTAGAAGCGTCTAGGAGAGCAAAGCACAGCACTGTAGGATCCTAGGGCTACAGGATCCTTGGGGTTCGGGGCGTGTGCTGTCAAAGTGGATCCAACAACAGGCTGGGGTGCACCCCCCTTATACTAACAGCTCCTTAGTAGGGATTCTAGTACCCCCTGTCAGAATCCCTATTAAGGACCTGTTAGTATAAGAAGAAAATCCCACGGGCCTCATTAAGAATCGTTTCTGTTCAGGCAAGTCGCCTTCGCGCAAACGCGGCGATGTTGAGCATGTCGCGAACCATGTCGAGACCAGCAGCGAGTGGCCGCAAACGGCGACAACACGCCGAGATAGACGATCTGGTATTTGCCCAAGACCTGTCTAGCCAATTCAATCTGCAGGGCATGCCTGACTACAAGGGCAATTGCTCTGAACTTTGGAATTGGCATTGGGCCTCGGCCAAATTGCCTGCGTCGCGTCCCGGCCCTATACCAGCCTTCCCAGGTCGAGATGTTCCACGATGGGTTTCATGCAGTGAGGCTCACTTCTAAACGGTTTGCAGCACTTAGTCAATGCCAATGTACCTCGTGATCCACGTACACCAAAGACCCAGGAAACGGCAGTCCAGGCAAAGAATCGCGAGCGGTCAGAACATCAGGACAGCGAATTCCTGACGGTGAAATGTCGCGTTACACATGCACATACAAAAGACATATACGGGCAAACTCACACACAAAGGCTACACGTTCACTCTTCAGAGTCTATAGGTTTGCCTGATGTCAGCGTCCACGCCCTTTCCGACGGCCTTCAAGGACATGGAAATCCTTGTGATCACTCCAGAGGTGACCTTAAGACCAACAGCATTGGCATCGCGAGCTTTAGGGTTTGGGTTTAGCACCACAGCAAAGACCTCATCTTGCCCTTATGACAGCTGGTCAAGCACCAGGCCCGGTGTGCCACTCTAGGCTCGAAGAACACTCCAGCATCTGCATATTCATCCAAGGCTCTTGTGAATGCAGGGAGACCATAGCCGTGAAACTGGTCTTCAAAGGGATCAACGGAAACCAAGAACTTCCTGCCATGTGCACGAGTCACAAGCTATCACACGCCCAAATGCTTATCGGTGGCTCCAAACAGTCAAGTATAGAGGTCGGAATAATTACTAAGACTTTTCCCTTATGATCCCTATAAAATTCTACTACAGTAATAACCCCCGCAACCCTATCCCTGTATAATTACCCCCCCCCCCCCCCCCAAAACCCTGTTAGAATTCTTCAGGCCCCTATCGTAACGCACCTCGCCTGCCAGTCTCACCCAGCGGACCGCCGTGCAGAGCCACGAGCTTGCCACTGCCACGCGCAAAAGCTTCTGAGATTCTCTGCAAGAGGTGCAGCCTGAGAGCTCAACATCGTAGCCATAACAGTTAGGGTTTAGGGTTTAGGGTTTAGGGTTTAGGGTTTAGGGTTTAGGGTTTAGGGTTTAGGGTTTAGGGTTTAGGGTTTAGGGTTTAGGGTTTAGGGTTTAGGGTTTAGGGTTCCATAGCAGCCATAGCACTATAGGGGCCTGAAAAAATACTAGAATAGGGTTTTTGGGGGTTATTGTAGCATAACCCATAAGGGAATACTATTGGACAATTATTCCGACCCTACATGACTACCGCTATCTTCAAGACAGGCCGTCTGAACTGGTCTAGAAACGACTCCGACGCCCACATGCCAGCCGACAGCAAGTTCAACAAAGTCTCTTGCTGCATCACCTCAGAAGCAGATGCATGCCTCACATGCTCGCGTACATCGCGACGCAGATTCTTACCCCTTGATAATTGTAGGATGCTGCTGCCTGCTCCGGTGAATTCGAAGGAGGGCACCACCAAAGAAAGCTGGACGCGAAGAATGAGACCCTGAACTGATGTTACCTCCAGCGACCGAGAGCTACAAACAGACTCAAAGAGAAACAGATCGCGCCAACATGCGAAGCAAGCAAGAAATACAGTACTCGTTCATGTGCATTCACATGTCCTGCATCACTAAACCCTTCAAACCCTAAACCCCTTCAAAACAACCTTTCAAAAAACCAAGCCTCGTCGCTGATTGGCAGCGCTGCAGGTGGAGCGCCCGTGGAAGGCAGGAACTGGGCCCCGATGCCGGTCGCAGGAAGTAGTCCTGATGGCCCCCAGATGTGTGCTACACAGCTGAGGATTTAGGGTTTCTAGGGTCTAGGGTCTAGGGTTTATAGGGTTTAGGAACCGACTATCAACCGACGAAATCCCTCGCCTCATACGTCTCCACGACTCCCTGCAGCATCTCCCAGACAAGGGGATCCCGGCGGCCCAGGCAGGACACCGAGGCGGCATAGCCGACCAAGGGGAGGCCAGCTCCCAGGAGGCAGCCCCTTCCTGATAGGGCTTAGGGATTTAGGGATTTAGGGATTTAGGGTTTAGGGATTTAGGGATTTAGGGTTTAGGTTTGGGGTTTAGGGTTCAGAGTATAGGGTTTAGGGTCGGTTTAGAGTTTAGAGTCTAGGAGGCTTAGAGAATGTGTTCTTGCTCTGCAGTATTAATTCTAGTTCTGCAAGTAGCTTTTTTTGGTGTTCGCATATAGCATGTGTAGTCTGTATAGCTTTCTCGTGAACCCCACGAACTTTCTACTTCACATGTGGGAACTCTGGCACTTATAGCTGCTATATTTCTTGCTTTTCAGTAGGTCTTGGGGGGTGTAGCGTACAGTTTTAGGGTTTAGGAGATGCAAATTCTCCTCAACGTGACAGGGCCATGACAACTCATTACCAACCAGGGTTCAGGCTACACCCTAAACATCCCTGGAAAGTAAAACAGTGTAGGCCCCCTTAAAACTCAAACAGTCAAACCTTGAAGCGCAAGTGTTTCTCGGCGCGGCGCGCGCGAAGCGCGTTGCGCCCAGTCCACTCAGGGCCGTGGTGGCGTTCAGGTCGCGGAGACCACGGAGGAGTCCCACGGCTGTGTTCTCAACGTCTGAGCCTCTGGTTTCGCATCCGAAAGCAGGGCCGAAAGAGTTTAGGGCTTTCGGTAAAATGCGCGTTTAGGTGAAAGCAGAAATGCTCCTGGCATTTTGATAGTTTCCGTGCAAGCTTGAAGCTACTTGAACTTGGTGCCCTCAGGGAGCTGAAAGCAACTTCGCTCCCGCGCAGCGTGGCGTCTTCATAGCGGATGCGGAAGGATTCCGCTTGCTGAGTGCAGCTATCGGTCGTGGCCGCGCCCTCCCGTGCAAGCCTTGGGTTCAGTGCTGCTAGCTTTAAAGGGGTGGCTTTACGAGCCCTCAAATCTTTGGGTTGACTAGATTTATTGGTTTAGTTGTAGGGTTCAGGGCTCTTTGTAGTGCCTATGGGCTTCACTTACTTGAAGGTTTATGATACGAAAAAAAACGTAGGTCCTATTGGTGTTTTCCCGGTAACCCGGACCAACCGTATTTGAAAAACCCGGAACCCGGAAAACTAACAATCCCAAGAAACCAAAACACAAAAACAGGGCGAGGCACTTGTAGGCAAGTAGGCCCAGAAGTCCAAACACAGGCCACCCGCTGCTCAAGATCTGGGAGGCTTATGGGCTGGGATGAAGTTCCATCAACTGCGATCGCTGTGAAAAGCTAGACGACCCAGGAGTAACCTAGGACTAGAAAGGGTGCCCTGTTTGCTTTAAAAAGGGGTTTACAAGGGAACCCAGCCAAAACAAAGGAAATAAGGGCCTACTCTGAGTCCTAGAAAGAGAGAACTTGGGGCTTAAGGCTTTGGCGGCCTCAAGCCTCGGGCTGTAGGGTCAGGGCTTGACGTTCTGGCTCCGCCTCCCTTGATTGCCAAGCTGTGATCTAGCTCCAATACTCCAATATTCCGAAAAAGTGTCTCGCGTCTGCTTCCGGGTTGCGGTGCTTGCGCTCGCGAAGGCCCAGGGAACGTCTTCCACTTCAAGCTCCGCCATCCGCTCTTCGGGACTCCGGAAAATGAGAAAGGCCACGCGGAGGCTGTAGTGCCTGCAGCAGTCCGCATGGGCCAAAACAAGCAACCCTATAAGGAGCCCTTTAAAGGGGTTATAGGGTATAAGAGCCCATGCAGGAGTCTGCACATGCCCTGACAGTATAAGAGCTGTTTCACCCGCGTGCGCTGCAAGCGTCTGCAGCCGAGGTGCCCCAACATGCAGAGCTCAGGTGATAACGAGGACACTGAATCCGCAATGCTCCGGAAAGCCTTCCAGAAAACAGGCAGGGTGCTGCAGGAAAGGCTCGAGATGGCACCAAGCAAGTGCCCAATGTACATCGCCCTTCCCTACTGCTACCCTTGGGCTTATGATGCATCATAAGATTGATGCTCATGATCACATGCGATACTTAACATCTGAAGCATGACACATGAACCCTCGACCATGTAGCTGACACTAGCTGACCCATGTAGCTGTGAATGGTGGGCGTGAGACTGCAGGATCTCCGCCATCTGCTGAGCGACTTCGATGAAGTTCGCAAAGGCACAGCTGCTTAGCTTGGGGGGCTCTCGCCCCTAGTTGCTCAGTACCCTGGCCAAAAAAAGGTTAACCGTTCAATTCGGGTAGGAGTGTATATAACCCCAGAAGGTTAAAGGCTATCTTCTCAGCTACTAAGCCACTAGTAGCAACACTTCGGCGCAACGCTGCCGCACTTCCTGGCCCCTTCCTGCAAGACACTCGCTCAAGGATCAAGCCTAAGGCCTCAAAATCCTAGCTATGAAGCCTATGACTTGACTGTGCCATACCTACCGTGCCTGTTGATCTTCTTTTGCTTCAGGAGGGGGGGGGGGGGGGGGGGGGGGGGGGTATTCATCCTTTGCAAACCAAACCCTGCGAGGCGTGAGGGAACCAGAACGGGAATACAACGTACTCTGAACAAGGAGGGATCCCCAGACCATGACTACCCAGACGGCCAAAGAACCCCAAATGTAGGCTCATGGCCTCCACAATATTTTCGCGGATAACAAGGGAAAAGCCCAGCAAGTCCTAATTAAACCCTAAACCCCTAACCCTGAACCCTAAACCCTAAACCCTCAACCCTCAACCCTAAACAACTATCCTCACTGAAATCCGGCCTCGAAGCCCTTCCGAGGCTCCACGATGATCTGGACAAGTATCTCCTGCTTCACTTAGAGGTTCATGGGTAGTGAGTAGTGAGTTATTATTAGGGTGACTCTACTTATAACCTTACTCCGGGCACTTATAACCCTACTTTGTAGTACCCGTGAACTTTGAAGCAGGGTCTTGGGTTCTCGACGCCCGCAGACACAGACACAAATGCGCACACTTTCGAGTCCTTGATTCTCATCCAGCTGCCCAACGGCTCGGGCAGTGTTGTGTCTTCACATCCCAGGAAAGAGCTCATGGTGCGCCGGGCAGGATACTTACGGTTGAGGGGTCTTCGGTAGCCTTTTAGCCTTCTGAAAATGGGGCGTGCTCACGGTTGTCGCGGATTAACAACTACTTTGTTGAGACAAGTTACTTGTTTTGTGATGTAAGGGCTCGGTTTTTTTCAGGCCGCGGGCTTGTGGGGCATAAAGAAAGTTTCGATGGTCTGCGCAGACTGAGAGGTATTAGCTTTCGCGGACGTTCTAGTAAGCCGGAATCATATGCAGCTCCTCCCTCGAGGCTGCTCTGTTCGAGCGTGGTCGGAGGCGGATACTCTGTGCCTGTGGGCCACCACGTTGCCCATCAGCCACCGCGGCAACTCGTCACCAAGGATCATGCAACGTCAAGCCCCTACTCGCCCACATCCCTGTGTCCCACACCCATCGCCGAGCCCCGTGCCATCGGAAAATGAAACAGCACGTCCTGACTCAGCATGTACCTCACGGCAATTCCCGCTTTAGGCAAACTCGAAAACACACTGCTACTTCTACACTGCTACTTCTACTTACGGGGGGACTGATCCCGATATTATTCCTTCCACATTGTTTTGATTATGTATATGTATGACTATGAGAACGAACATGAGTATGTATATATATATATATATGTATATATATATATACATATATATATATATGTATATACGTGCTTAAAGATATATGAATATACATCCAGGGAACAGCTCCGGCAACGCGAAGGCGGCCATGGCTGATGAGCTGAAGGCCACGAAAGGGGACCTCAGAGCCCTAAACCCTAAACCCTAAACCCTAAACCCTAAACCCTAAACCCTAAACCCCAAGTAGTGCATCCTGGCCCCCTAAACCCTAAACCCTAGTAGTACATCCTGGCTTCCAGGGCATCGGGGCTTGTGGTGCTGACGCCCAAGGGCGAAGTGTGGTGTTCGCGGGCAGGGGGGGGGAGGGTTAGGGTTTAGGGTTCAGGGTTCAGGGTTCAGGGTTCAGGGTTCAGGGTTCAGGGTTCAGGGTTCAGGGTTCAGGGTTCAGGGTTTAGGGTTTAGGGTTTAGGGTTTAGGGTTTAGGGTTTAGGGTTTAGGGTTTAGAGTTTAGGGTTTAGGGTTTTGGGTTTAGGGTTTAGGGTGAGGGTGCTGGGCCCCTTTGCAAGTGTTGCTGAAGTCTGTTGAAATCTTGGAATGGAAGCCTCAAACTCAGTCCCTCAGGCATCCTAAGGCCCCTGAAATTGCCAGCTCAGCAGCTGGATCTCCTCGATCTTGGTGAGGACCTCCGACCCGACGGGGGTTGCTCTCAGGGCCCCTCTTTTGGGTATTTTTTTTGTTGGCTCCTTTTTTGGGGTCCTACATGCACTTAGGGCCCCTTTTTTGGGGCTCCTTTTTTGGGGCTCCTTTTTTGGGCTCTTACCTGCACTGTGGAGCAACTCTCCCCCCCACCGCCCTCACCGCCCCAAGCGACACCTCGGTTTAGGGCTCTGCCGGCTCGGATGTGAGGCCAAAGCCCGGAGCCCCTTCCGATGTCAGTAGGGCATGGAAAGCCAGCCCGAAACCCCAAACTCCAAAACCAGCTGAAGGTTATTATCGTTCCTACTATGAATATTATTATGATGATTATGATTATTATGATTACTATTAATAGTAGTATATTAACCCCTCATCTGGAGGGCAGCCGAGGAGCCGTGTCGATCTCGCACAGAAAGTCCTGGGTCATGGGCCATGGACTCGTTTGCGAAGGGTCTGGTGTGCATCAAGCTCAATCCTCCGCAAACTCCCTAAGGTCCTAGGGTTCTTTTGTGTCTTGAAAAGCTTGGACGGTCCAGGTTTTACATTGGGTTGAACTGTGACAGGGAGAATGTTGAATGTTGCCGGCTTTCTCTGTGCATTGCAAGCGTCGACCAGCAACAGCAGCAGCAACACAGTTCCACCGACCGTCAGTCGTGGCCTGGACACTTGCACACTTTGCCCAGGCTCCGGTTGCACGTGGAACCCAACGCCTTACTTAGAGGCTCATGGGCAATTATATATGTGTAGGGATAAGGCTATACTAAGCGATAATCGTAGTTACCCACTTTTGTACCCACTTACATCTACCCACAAACCTCGAAGTCGACCCCATAGCAGGATCCCACGATTGCAAGATCTGCAAGGAGACCCTTGCCTGGCCTGTCGTCCTTGAAGCTGATGAAGTCCTCACCCTCTTGTCCCTCTAATCCTGCTGCAGCATCCGTGAGCTTGCACTGCCAGAACCTTCTTTAACCATGAGGCTCACGGGAGCATGTTTGCCTCATGCCTATCTGGCCTATCTGCACAAAACGCGATGCGACTCGGGAGTCGCCTGGCATGGCTTGCACTGTCAGCTTGATGAGAGAATCGAATTGTCGGGGTCCTGCTAGGCTGGAGCTGGAAATGCTCCGAAGTACGCTTGTGACTCCCGTGGTCGGAGCCTGTGCCATCACAGCAACAAAGGCATACAGGGCCGTGTTCATACAAGGAGGGGCCCCCCTTACTATACTAACTGTACTTAAGGGACTTTTAACCTAATTTAGGATCCTTATAACCCAATTTAAGGTCCTTATAACTCTACTTATATCTAGGGGACCCCTCCTTGTAGCCGCTCATCCCGATGCAACCCATTCCTGCGGCATCGCCGTGCCTTTGGGAAGCGATGCCCTTTGTGAGCGCACATGAGGCAAGCTACAGTGCGAAGACAAGACCCCCTAACTAAACAAATACCTCGTCCATCCCCACCCCAAAGGCTACTTGGAGGTTCCTGGGTAGCTAGAAGTAGGGCTATAATGGGAGATAATTCGGGTACGTAGTACCTGTACTTCTAACTCCTAACCTTACTTGGGCTACATATAACCCTGCTTATGACTCGCCATGAACCTCCAAGTAACCGATGTGGGAGCCCAAGACACTTCGCCGCAAGATTCTTGTGGCGGGGTTTCCGCACCAGGCATATTTGGCGGGGCCCTCTTCCCGGGACACTCTAAAAGGAGTAGGAACTCTAGGGGTAGTCACTCTCTGCGGGATTCCTTGAGAGTGGCACTCCAGGAAAAGAGTCGGCGGGCATTTCTTGGGGGCTCTCGGAGGGCTCTCTGCGGGGGACATTCCGGGACAAAACGCAAGCGATGGGACATTGTGTGCAGACACAACCTGGGGGTGGATAGCTTCAAACATGCACTTGCCTTGGACAGCGACTCCCTCAGCGTCAGCCTTACTCAGGCGAGTGGATGAGATGTCTAAACGTGGAAGGTTCGTGTTCGGACAGCTGTATACGGAAACAGTGCAGTGATCGCGGCACCTTGTTCACGTCCATTTCTGGACATGGTAGAGAGTTCTTGAACCCTTGAGCCAGTGAAAGCCTGAGCCTAGCGTAAAACCCCAAACTCCCAAACCCCCCTACTCTTGGCTGCACTTAGCAGGGTAGCTATAAATTTTAATTTTAGCTGCCTTATTGAGAAACTCAATAAACCCAAAAAGGCTGAGGATCTAAAGTTACAGCAAAGCACCACAGAGAAAACCCTAAGCCCTAAACCCTAAACCCTGAACCCTAAACCCTAAACCCTAAACCCTGAACCCTAAACCCTAAACCCTAAACCCTAAACCCTGGGCATCCTAGACTAAGCTGCCGGCAGCCCAAAGAAAAGCAGGCCCAGGCCGAGCACCTGTCAGAACTTTGGGGGGTTCCAGGCTCTCTTTCTGTTTGGGGGCGGGGGTTTAGGGTTTAGGGTTTAGGGTTTAGGGCTAGGGTTCAGGGTTTAGGCAGGTCAGCCCCAAGTGGGCAATTGCTTTTTTGTGGCGGGCTGACCGTTCCGCCAGCTTCTGTTGGACGTTGCATAAAGTATGGTGACCGGCAGGTCTCAAATGGTGGCGGGGCCATCTTTCCATTCCCGAACCCTGAATTCTGGAAGCTGACCTACCTAGTACAGGCAATACTTGAGCCCAGCCAACGCATGACACTTCAAGCCAAACCCTAAACCCTAAACCATAAACCCTAAACCCTTAACCCTTAAACCCTAAACCCTTCGAGGCAGCCTGTGGCAGCAGGTGCATTGAGCGCAGCTCATGCGCGAGACCCAGGAAGAACACCTCGCCGTATAGAGGCTGAGGTTGGAAAGCTGAACCCTAAACCCTCAACGGCTTCCAAAGGTGGGCAGCTTGCTGACATGCGCATAAAAACACCCTAAACCCTAAACCCTAAACCCTAAACCCTAAAACCGCAACCCCAGTTTGCCTCTGCATCAACATCCCAAGTCCGAAGCCGCTCATACTTCATGGGCTGCTTTACACAGGGTCCCTTGCGGATATCCTTTCTAATCAAGTCGATGGTTCCTTCCAAAAGGCACCTTGATGTATAGAACAACCCCCTACTTGCGTCCCCGGGATCGTTCCACTACCCACCTATTCATGCCACGGCGCTGCTTCGAAGAGAATTTGGCAGATAACCACCTTGTCCTGCAAGCGCATCTGCAAAAGAGAGGGTCCACACTGACGAGAAGTAAAAGTCCGTTTTGTCTTCAGATCCACACGACCACATACACTCTGAACCCTCGATGAGGGGTGCTCCGCAATTGGGTAGGCAGCTTTAGAACAGAATCCCTGACAGGAAGGACCCAGAAGCCCCTAAACCCTAAACCCTAAACTCTAAACCCCAAAACCCTAAACCCCAAACCCTACACCCTACACCCTAAACCGTAAACCCTACACCCTACACCCTAAACCCTAAACCCTACACCCTACACCCTAAACCCTGAACCCTAAACCCTAAACCCTAAACCCTAAACCCTAAACCCCTACCATCTCGCGGTCCAAGCTTCGAGCACCTTTGCCACAAGGACGTCTGAGAGGGGAATGGCATTGATCACCGCGCGGAACACGAACACGTTTTCCTTTCTTGCGCCCTAAACCCTAAACCCCAAACCCTAAACCCTAAACCCTCAACCCTCAACCCTAAACCCTAAACCTTAAACGGCTGATGCACCTTAGCACTTCTGCAACAGCTTCATCATGGAATCTCGCGGTTGGCGGATGTTCGCGGCTTGAGATGCAAACTGCAAAAGTCTGCAGACTCGAGGCTGAAATGGGGTTTCCTTGTTGGGGTTTAGGGTTTAGGGTTTAGGGTTTAGGGTGTAGGGTGTAGGGTGTAAGGTTTAGGGTTTAGGGTTTAGGGTTACCTAAGCTCAAAATGGGGGGCCTTGTTGGGGTCCTTATTCTCAGGGAATCTGACGATTTGGGGATCTATTACAGGGGTCCCTGCTTTTCGTAAACTCCCACAATCTCCCACATTTGAGACAACACCCATGCAATACATGGTAGGCGCTGGACGGCACCGAGATCAGCCCAGGATCCAGCATGAAGAAGAACTCAAAGAAGTACCCTGCCACCCACTCCTCGCCATGTCCCTGCAAACATCTCAAGAATGTGAAAATGCACGTGGCGCTTTCACCGGTTTTTGTAGAATTGCGAATGGGTTGTGGACAGGCGTTGCTAAGGAGCTTTGCACCTCTGCCGTGGCAGTAAAGAAATTTAGAGGTGCTGGAGCCATTTGGCCTAAGTCGGGCTACGAATCTCCAGTATGCAGCTAAGAAGCTTGGTTTAGGGTTTAGGGTTTCGGGTTTAGGGTTTAGGGGAACGACAAGAGACCCAAATGTTGCATACGCACTACATATTTACCACCCTCAACCCGCATGGCTTCCACAAACCCCGTACTGTCGGCGCCTCAATAATTAGAATAGCAATTGAATAGCATTTTGAAAAAAGGGGGGGAGCTATTATATTATAGCTTAGAAGGGACCATAAGGGAATATTAGTAGCAATTCCTATATTATAGTATAGTTATGAAGGGACCATAAGGGAATACTAGTAGCAATTATTCGCCCCCCTAAAATAAGCTTGCCTTGCCAAATCGCAGCGAGACCGCGACGGCCATTGCGGCCCCAAGCCCAAGCCAAGTGAGCAAGGAGACCACATGAAACATCGTCCTCGGGTGCTCGGAGGTTCAGGAGTATTTAATTAAGTAGGGTAAAAAGTGCGTAATTAGGAGGTTCAGGAGAATTTAAGTAGGGTTTTTCAGTCCCTAAGTAAGGCTATTAAGGGTGTCAGTCTGCTTATGCCCCTACTTCTGACTACCCATGAGCCAAGTGGGAGAGAGGATTCCCTAAACCCTAATCCCTAAACCCTAAACCCTCAACCCTAACCCTCAAAGCTTCAGTCTTGAGTTCCGCGGGAGGGATCACATCATGCTGACACCTGTGGACCAGGACATACAAATCGTCTGCAGCCCTTGTGGTACGGTGGCACTCTCTTCCCCTGATACTGAACCCCTGACACTTAGGGGGGGGGTCAGGGGTCTAGATTCTTGTTCAACCCTAAACCCTAAACCCTGAACCCTAAACTCTAAACCCTTGGTGTCGGGTTGGTAGAGATTTCAACTCAGGAAATGTAGGAAATCTCCTCCGGGAAGCCAATACTCCCCGAATCAACTGGCCCAGGTCTCCTGCCCCTCATCTGCAGAGAATCCCGCAGATTTATCCCTGGAGTGCCTACCCTAAACCCTAAACCCTAAACACCAAACCCTAAACCCTAAACCCTAAACCCTAAATCCTAAACCCAAAACACTGCCCCCAGAGAATCCCATGGAGCCTTTGCGTGACTCAAGGTGCAAACAACTTGCTCCCGGAAACATAGACTGGGGGGGATTTGCGGGGC